CGGCGCTGCCCTCCGTTCGGGGGGTGCGGGCGTCCCGGCCCCCACCGACAGCCCCTGAGAAGGCTCGGCGGGGTTGGTAGTGGGCTCCCCGCTTGGGCCCCCCGCTCCGTGCCTCTGAGAAATGAAGGGTTTCCGTTCCAAGCTAGCCCCGTGCGTATCTTTTGTTACCTGCATCAGGCTCATTTTGGGTTTTATGTCCCACACAAAGCAGAGAGATCCTTTAATAATAACTGGTTTTGAAAGCTCTGCCTGTAATAGACTGCGTAAATTTCAGAAGACTTTAAAGAAAAAAAAAGATCACACTCTTTACAGAGCAGCTCAAAACTTTATTCTGAGAGAGAAGTGAATGTATTACAGCAACTCTACACAAGAAAAAACCCTGTTCTGTCTCCTTTTTTAGCGTCCTATTTTCATCTTTACTCTGAAAAATAGGACTCTCAAACTAAAAATTTCTCTAAAATTACCGATTATTTCATCTTGATAAATTGTAGCTTGGATTGGCAGCATACAGAAAATTTAGATCCCAAAGAAATCTGTTTCTTTAGCGTAGGAGATGAGAGTTCTGAACTCTGTTCCTGGCTATCACCACTAACTTGGCTGTGTGAAAACAGATGAAAGATTGTTTCTCTGTAAAAATATATCTGAATAAGAACATTGGGCATTAATACATCTACAATGCTAATACTAAAAGTAATAAAAAAGTGTAAAATGTTTCTATATCACCATTCTTTCAGTTATTCCTCTTCCCCCCCCAACCCCTTCTCCCAAATAGTCCTTGGTTTCTCTTTTGACAAAATCCTGTATTTGTTTGACACCAAAAATGCTATCAGTTCCAGCTCAGTCAGCATAGATATTGACAGTTTCTGTGAGAGGTGTATGAAGTCAATAAAAAAGGGAATGACACCCATGTGCTGGAAAGTCTAGATCTGTGAAAAACATGGATCAGTTATTGAATGATGAAGAGAATTAAATGAGAACTACACCCATTTATTTGATACCAAAGAACACCCAGGTTTTATGACATACCTATGCTAGGAACAGTTTACCAGTCAGTCTTCAGCACAGCACAATAAGATCAGGTTGCATGGCTTTTTGCCTCTTGGTAGCTGGGAGGGGAAATGAGAGAGCTTGCTGCTTCTATTTATTTCCATTTTCAGTGAAAACACTTTTTTTTTTTTTTACGAAAAGTTTTCCTCAGGCTAGCTGCCTACATCTGCTATGGATCAGGACAAGAATACACTGCTTAAATAGAATGTGTAACTGAAAAAATCTGGGAAGAAAATTTTGGAGAGAAAACAGATTCTTATGGTTCACAGTTTCAAATAAACATACGAAATACAAATGTGTAGATGTATTAATCAATATGTGCAATAAATGGTACTTTTGTAGAAGGAATATTAAAAAAACAATACAACATAGTAATAAAGTGTGAGAAATAAAAATGGAGATTACATAGTAAGCCTAAACAAAAATAAATTCAGAAACTTAGAGTTTATATTTAAAATGCATGATAAATGTTCTCCCCTTCTACTTCACAATTTTGACAGCTGTTAGGATTTAACATTTATCTCATTCGATATCAGGACTGTTCTTGAAGAGATATTCTGCCTAGAAATAGAAGAATTTCAAGGTTACACTTACTTTCAAGTCTTCAATTTTAAAAGTTACACAAAATAACAAAAAAATAGTGGATCACATTGCTTTAAACAAAATCACAGAAAGTATTAAATGCCTCTAAAATGTAATTTCTGGCAGATATGTCAGAGAAACCTCTCTCCAGAAATACCATCCAAAATACCATCCACCTCATTCTCCCTCTTGGTAGCAGTTACCCCACCTCTATCTATCCTGGGCAAGAGAAGGAAGTGAGCTATTAATGACAGTATTTGTCACTCCATGGAAAATCCTAGGGAGTGCCCTAGGGCCTGATTTCTGGACCCAGAAGAGTAGATAATACAGATCTTTAAAAGTTATGCAGTTAGGGAAGATCTCATGCTCCTACAGCTACAGGTAGTTGTCACTCATCAGTAAGCAAAAAGGTTAAAACCAATATTCCTTAGTGCCTAAAGTGGCATGCAACACTGACGCTTTCGTTTTAAGCTTTTGCTTGGTTAATAAAATGTCTCTTTTCATTAAAACAGTGATAGCTTGTTAATAACTTTCTTAGGATGTGCAGGAAGAACAGCAGTACAGCAATAATTTTACAGCATCTGAATTCTTGTCTGCAACGCTGACCCTGCTTTCAGCTGAAAGCTGAACTAGATAACTTCTTGAGGTCTTATAGGATTTACTCATTAATTTATCTGTGTATTGTGAAGGGAATTACTAAAGAGCTTTCTTCATCATTACAGTAATGTGTCCTGTTGTGCCTAGAGGGGTGTAATCAGCTTGGAGAGCGATGTCTCCCTTTCTACAGGCCTCTGTCACAGCAGAATTGGCAGGATATGTAAGGTGTGCAGAGCATGCACACCAAAGAGAAACCAATTCTGGTAGTGATTCTTGTCCTGTGACTGTTTAGCAAAGCTGGATTATGCCCTTACTTGATACACAGCATCAACTGATCCCATAAAGAGTGGTTGCTGGGTTTTTAGTTTTCAATATAGTTACTGCTTACCATAATTGCAGATACTATCTGTTAATTAATTGTTATCATGACAGTGGGGAAAAGGAATTTAAGTCCTTATGTTAACAGAGATTTTTTGGGGTCTACGTGAATATTTTCATTAAGCTTTTTCAAACACATTTAAGAAAAAAAGATGTAATCACCTTACCAGAAAATCGACTGGATCATCTGGCCTGATCTTACAGCATTCATTTATCCCTTGCATAAGCGTTGGCATGACGTTCTTCATTAAATAGTTTCGCAGTGGAATGGACTGGGCCTCCAATAACTCTTGTTCTTGTCTTTTCACTTCCTCCAGATGTTTATTCTACAAATAATGAACAAAATCATAAAGAATAAGATTTACGTCTACCAAATAGCACTTGACTGAATAACAGTGGTGGCCTAGAGAAAAAAGTACTGCTAGAAGCTGTGGACAGAACTTTAAAACTCACAACTTGGCATGAAAAACTATGAACTGCTTATTAAATTTAGAGTGCACAGCACACTGAGGACAAAGAATTTAATGTGATGAAACCAAAAATAATCTCCTTAGTAAAATTATTTTACTTTTCTCTCTTTAACACCTAAAAGGAGGTTTATTCTGAAGTCTTCCAGTCTTGTCGTGTTTCCATAAGAAATTTGGCAAAATGGTTGAAATACACTGTATCACTTAAAAAATGAGTACTGCTGCAAATGCAGTTTCTTGAGGGTTCATTGAACTGGAGGGGAAGGAGAGTATTTTTACTCAGAAGAGAGCCGCGACTCTCTAATTGTAAATTGTGTTTGTTTGTTTGTTTTGGGTTTGGTTTCTTTGCTTTGTTTTGGTTTTATTTCATTTATGTCAGTTTTTGAGGGGGATAAGACTTAAATAGACTAAAACCACAGTGAATTACATCTGTTTACACCAGCTAAAATTATTCTTGAATTCAGGTTAAATCAAATACAATGATTACACTTAAAAAGTAGGGGGCAGAGGGGCAGAAAGAAAACCACCGCGAGTTTTTCTTTCTTCCATTTAATAGCACTTAATAGCATGCCATAATAGTTTTAGCCAGAAGATTAATCAAAAACATTTTTATTGTTCTCTCTTCTCTCATTTTATTCATCAGTACCCTGAGTCATATATAGATACAGCAAGCAGATGACACTCTGAAGACTGCTTTTCTATACTTAAGGTATAATACAAAAGCAATGTTCAGATAAAACAGATATATCAATATATGGAAAGGGTATTTACCTTATTCACTCAATCCAGGAGTGCTATTTAATAAATCCTGCAAGTGGTCTTTGGTCAGTACTCAAAGACAGCAGCTAATCTACAGTCTCAAGGGCAAATGAATAGTTGCTTAGATTTCCTGAGCATCTGCCTATTTAAAAGGATAAACTTAAGCACACATTTTATTTAAACACCTACTTTGAATAATGCACGGTTTGCTCTCTTGAAAGTTAGATGGCTTTGGATTGAATATAGCTAAAAATGTGTTAACTACCCTTACTAATCTTTTAGACAAGTTTACAGAGAGTACAAAATGCTATTTAATCTTGAATGAAGCTGTAAATAAGCATAGATAACAAAGAAAACTTCTTTACAAGCCAACATCAGACCAATGTAAATGGTTCTTTAAAAGTGAGTAATTTCAAGCTATTATCTCCCCATTCAAATGTAAGAAAAGGATTTCTCTGTGGAATGATCAGTTTGTTTTTAAATAGCTCTAAAATAAGACAATAGAATTACTGCCTTCTGGTGAAACAACCTGACTTTGGATGTGAAGAACATTCTTATAGTATGCATCTCAGGTTATTTACCTAAAATGTCCTTAGGTGTGGCAAAGTAAATAAGGAAAAAGCATCATGTGCAAATCCTGTGAGGTCAGTTAGCCTAAATACCAAGTACTTATTAAAGTATTAGCAAACAAAAAGCATCCTTCAGACTGCGTCAGGTGGTCCTCACTGAACTGAGGATTCAGCTCTCAAAGGTGTTTCTCTTGCAGGCTCAGAAGCCTTTCTGCAATGCAGACTGGAATATTAATCAGTGTTGACTTAAAAATTTGTTTGAAAGGCATGATAATTAAGACTTGGTCAGCTGCTTAGAAGTAAAGTGAGCAAAATGCAAAAGTCCTAGAAGACTAGTTATGGAAAATCACCACTGATTATAGTAGTTATTTATAAATGGTAAAATAAAAAAGCTACGGCACAGCAACAACAAGAGTAGTATCATAAAAGTATCTGAGAGACATGCTGATACCAACATGCCAAAAAAAAAAGGTCTGTCTGTAATTAAAAAGAGACTATATTCCTTAGGTTGGGCCTCAAAATGCAGCGTGAAGATAGTCTAACCCAGATCTAACATATGATATAAGGAACTAGAGAATTTATGCCGTACTTCCTGAGTATATTTACATAACAGATTGCTGGAAGCCATCTAAACCACATAAATAATGGTTTCCCAAAAATATGTATTAACCTACCCACACTTCCCAATTTGCCATCCTTTCAGCCCTTTCCTCAGCTTCCTTACGCTCTCGTTCAGCTTTTTCTTGAGCTTCTTTGACAAGACGTTCCTCAGCTGCTTTGCGTTCCAAATTCTCCTTTTCTGCATCTGTCAAACCATAATTCCGAGGTTCCCCAATTTCTTTGATGATCTCTTTTACAATAAGTCTGTTCTCAGGGTCTTCAAATTTGGCTACGTCTTTCAAAAAATACAAGAGACAAATTTTCAAGACTTTTGTCAATTATCAATGGACATTAGTAAATGACTGCAAGACCTAAAAATACACAGTTTTCATGTTTAAATTTTCAAGTATATGATGTTGGTTTCAGTTGCTTATAAATGTCAAATTTTTTGCTACACAGAATGAAGTTTTCTATATCTGATTTTCTGTACTAGTTTTGATGTCAGATATAGAAAATCCTGTTTTAAATTAAGTTAGTTAATCATTTTCAACTTCAAACATTTTTAAGAATACCTAGAGAAGTAGCCAAGATCATTCTGGTCCTTTCTATTCTTCCTGATTGATGATGCGTCCCTCTGGGCAGGAAAACGAACTATTGACCCGATACAGAGGGATTTAGTGGTCAAAGTGAGGAGAAGATGCCTCCCCAAATGACCACCGAAGACCACCCGAGACCCCGGCACATGCGGAGAAGGCGTTTGATGTGTCATGGTTATATAATCCTATGCATATGCATTAGTTTGAATATGTACTAGATAGGAGTAGCTTAATAAAATATATGCAATTGTTACTGTATAAGAGACACACTTGATGAACCTGGTGTGCTTGATTTGTGGAAAGTCCACCGAGCACCCAGGCCTAAATAAAAAGCATTATCTCTCCTGAGTGTGTGAGACTGGTCTATTGCACACTGGGTAACAAATCTGCTTTTAGGACAACAGTTTCAGCTAAAATAGTTTGTCATTTTAAGATGATGTAAAGGAGAAATATATTAAAATAATTTTTACAACTCTTCTGTTTATTAGTTGCAGCTTTCCTAAGTTTTGAAACTTGAAAATGAGGTCATTCAACTATCAGATGTTCTTGTCACTACTCTTATGTCAACTTATCCAGATGCATAAAACCATCAGCTTTTGACCCTATCATCTCCCCTGCAGGTTACACAATAGGTTGTAAGGATTTGGCAACAAACTCCAAAGTTTTCACTCATACAGATTTACAAATACATAGACCTATCTCTAGTTGAATTCTTACTGTGTTATATCTACAAAACAAATCTGTAGCTTCATGCAGGAGCATAGAGACTGAGCAAGACCTTCTCTTTCATTCCTTCTCCCTTTTAATTGCTGGAGGCTACTTGCATATTAAACTTGCAAAAAAAGAAGGAAAAGAAAAAACACAGAAAAATGGAGATTGTCTCCAGGGCTTTCTGGGCTCTGTATGCACTCAGTGTGGGGAGGCATCTGGCAGAAAGGATATAGAAATGTGCATGGTAAAGAGGAAAAGTGGGCATTTCAGGTATCCAGAGAATCCAAAGATAAAGGGCTCGTTCAGTGGTAAGGGACTGGAGATGTAAAGGCACAGAAATTGGTAAGGAGAGCAAGCAGAGGAAGGGGAAAACCCAGAACAACTGGAATACAGAATTTAGATGAGAAGCCAGTAGTTCCTACTCCACAGTCCTCTGCTTTATGAAGTTATCTTGAAAGCCATTGGCAAAGTATGCTTCTCATTTCTTTCTAATCACTAATTCAGATGGAAGATAGCTGTCTAACACTAACACCATTATTCCAAGAATTTAAGCGTTTGTGATTTGGACCTGAAGTACAAACTCTGCTAATGAATTGAGGAGAAAGCTAACATAATTCTACATAATAAAATTTCTTTTACAGCTTCTTCTTTCAAAAAATCAGGAATTACATTCCTGAAGTATTCCATATTAAAAGAATAATACATTTTCTATGTCAAGCAGTCCATTGTTTCTGCAATTTTAGCTGCACCTGGATATAAAAATTACAGTGCAAACCACTTTTCTAGTCATTTAAAGTATTGCTAAGAACTCTCTCAGCATTCAATTTGAGGTGTCAAAGACTGCATTTTTTTCCTAGATGGCCAAGCAAGATTACAATGCAAATATTACAGCAATCATAATTAACTGCATTTATCCCCCCAAATAAATACCTTTTAAATAAAAAAGGAGGTTAGCACTGATGCTGAGAGGAAAGATCACCAGAAAAGGAGTTTGTAAATTAAGATCTTCAAAGGAAATTGCTGTTATAATTTTATCATGCCTTTTTGTAGATGATCTAACATGTGTTACCATCCCCAATTGGCAGATGAGAAAAACAAGAAACAAGATAACTGACTTGCAGACTTCATTCAGTGAGTCACTGTAGCAAAGGAGGGTTTCCAGAATCTTGAAGCCCACTCCTTTGTACTAATCATATTTCAGACTCAGAAAAAATAATAATCATAAAAGCATTTCTTAAAGCCATATGTTATGATTTTCTAAAACTAAAGTGGAAGAAGCATTTGATTAATTTGAGTCAATATTTAACAAATCAAACACAATTTTTTAACCATTTCCCACTAAATTCCTTCAGAGTATGACTGAGAAAGCAGTTGGTGGTCTGCTTAAATCTGATGCTATTTAATTCTATGGATCTGATAAAACATCTGGAACATCAGCTAGAATGGAGGGGTATTGGCAGAGCGTCAGTTCCTCACTGAAGTTATCTTTGTAATCTGTCCTTACCATTTTACAACAGAAGCCTATGTGCTTGCATACTTTGGTGGGTAACAATCAGTGATGTGATTATAGGTAAAAAGGCAGTTCCTGAGATAAACAGGACCTAAAGACAATGCTCCTTTGAAGATAAGAATCAACACTATAACCTGAATGTGAAAATCATCTGGAAGTCACTGAACGTCAGAGTTGTGAAAACTCAATAATTAAAATTAGTAGGCCAGTGATTTTCCTTATTAGGAATGGACTAGAGTTTAAGAGTAATCTTTGGGCATAATTCTTAACAGAAAACACTGCAATAGTCTACCACAGAGTATACACTTTGTAGTCCCCACCAAAATAAAACATGGTCTTGGACAGTGCTACTACTTGCATATCCAGAAGTGTATAAAATAAGAATATGACCAATTGATGGCATCAGACCTTAGTATTTACCATTTCTTATTTTACTTTCTGTAGCAGAATTACCTCAATTCTAAAATGATTATACTAACACACTATTTTTTTCCTCTGCTATGCTTTCTAACAACACATGTATGGTATTACTCTCAAGAAAATCTCCGTGACTGACATTAAATTAAAAAAAAACTTAGGAAATCAATTATGACTGAGGCTGTTGAACAACTAACTTGTCATGACTCATCTCAAATGGACATTCCAACTATCAGCAGTTTGATTTTAGTTGCAGGGTTTTCCCCCTTTTTTTTTTTTTCTTCCCCCCCCCCCCCCCAATTTTTCTTAAGAATGCTGTCACCCTGATCTCACTGTTTTTGAATAATCAGATTATAGTAATTTTCTCAAGATTTCCCAGTGATCACAATTTTCTAGATAGTGTGTAGGGACGACAAATTTTCTCACATACAGGTAGAGTGCAAAACAGATTCAGCCCTAGCCTTCCACCTTTAATTTCTAATCATTTTCTTTCATGCGTCATCATTTGCATATTACCCATATATTGTCGTGGCACCTGAGGATAAGTCTAAAGAAAAAAATATAAGCAACTATAATATTGAAAGTCCATGAAAATATACTATTACACCAATCTGGAAGCATGCCAGTGTGGAGGTCTGTAACATAAGTCAGAAAATTATTTTGATCATTTAGACTACAAAAATGAACAATTAAACCCCCTATTTTTTAAAACAGGTTAACAGTATGAGAACAATTCAGAATCCTTCTGAGTATACAGATATTTTTGCAGGTATATAATTAAATGATTGTTGTATCTGTATTCTGCAATGTTAATTAAAAATATTATTTATAGATGTACACTTACTATATGATCTTCGCAAGTGTTAAATTTGTAACAACACAATTTTTTAAATTTTATTATTTCATACCAATAAACTGAGGATGTATTTCAAGTTCATCAAAATAGTTGAGAACAGTCTTATCTTCTGTGTTTAAGTCTCTGAAGAGATTCAAAGATTGCAGGAACTGGTCCTGGGTATAATGAGTTCCAGCAACAATTCTCTCTGGCAGATTTATTATTCTGTTTATAAGGAATTCATCAGATGCGGTCAAAGAAATAACAAATTCTGTGAAGAAGAACACATTATCAGTGCCCATATATTATTGTTTTTCCTCTTTCTTACCTATTTTGTGTTAAAAACAGATCTTAAACAACAATCCTGCAAGTCAAACAATCCAACAAACCCATACCTAAGGTACTTGTTATAGGAGAGAAAGTGGTATTTCTCCAGCACATCATAATAATTCATTCACATTTCTCCTTTTGAAATGGAGGCTAAAAGTGGTTTTGTTTATGAATAACAGAAATTATTTACTTCCGAAATAAGCAACTCATAAGTGGTTACAAACTTGTTAGAAGTATGCTTTTTAAATCAAACCTTTATGTATGTGCAAGGACTAGGGAATTTTTCAGAAAGTTCTGAATTTCCTTCACTTCTTCTGAAGCCAGTAAATTATCATTTACTGAAACACTAAGCATTTGAGATATTCAGTCTAACTAGACATCTGTAATGCAAAATAAACCAAATGTATTGTTTGAATGAAATCAAAACTTCCAAAGAAATCAAAATAGCGAAAACACCAGGATGAAGCCATTTCTGCATAGATGAAAACCACTCTATTTTAATTCCCAACTTAACTGATGCATTAAAATGAATTTGGTAACATCTTTCAAGATATCACACTAAAGATAAACTTATGGTTTTTTAATATGCCAAGTTCAGGAGCTCATGTTTATTCCATTAACAGCTGCTGTAATGACAACAAAGGCAGCTACTATTATCAGCCAACAGTTGATGGTATTTTCACAAAAAGAAAAAAAAAAGAATAAAACACCCACAAACTGAACCAAAACCTTCCTTTTGATTAATTGTTCACTTTCAAATAAGAGGGCAGCAGCATTACACAAATTAGATATTTATTTATATTAAATTAAATATGAACAGATGGAGTGATATTTTAGACCTCTCGTTGGTGGCAGCAGTACTTGAAAATTCCTCTGTTTATTTAAAAAGAAATCTATCAAACTTACCAGGTATGATTAATATATCACATTTAGGTATTTTGCCTTTAATTTCTTCTTCTTCATCTTCACTTTCCACTAAAACAAAAGTAAGAAATTATCGACATTTTCATTTGAAGCAACAATATCATTATATTTGCTAAAAATGTGCCAGTAGAAACACAGGTTTGTCTACATTCAAATTATACTAATTGTTGGAAATTAATCTAACCTGGACACCAGTTTAGAGAATTCAGTAAGTAATTCGTACTGCTACCTTGGGACACTAAGAGTTGTTTGCCTATACAGTGGAAGTATGCATTTGCATACACAGTTTTAAAATGTGTCCCTACTGCTGTCCTCACCCTGGCCTCTCCTTCTGACAAGTACATTATTCTGCCAAAAACAGAGACAGGGCTCAGAACAGTAAGTAGAAATGTTTTATAGTAGGATGGTTAAAATGGTTTTTGCCACTAAGTCTCTGCTATTTTGTATAGTCAGTAAAACTGCCTGAAGAGCATCAGCTGAGCATGACAATTTACAGACCAGCATATTAAACTGAAAAAGACTGGTTTTAGTTTTCCTTCAAACCTCATGATGTAATTTACATATGGAGACGATTCTTGGTCTTAATGCATGGACAGTGCTTGCTCACAATTTGAGGTGTATGTCGCAGAGCTCCTCTAAATCATATCTACTGTAGCTGATCTAATATACCCACTCTAATCTGGCTCACAAAACATGTATTGGTGCACTGGCTGCATCCCTCATTAAGCAGCCCTTAAATATTATGAGGAAATTCTGCTTTAGAGCTTGCTTGAGGGAAGTAGACCAACACAGAACAAGAAAGCATCCTCCATATTTGTGCATTTCCTTAGTACTTTGCCAGCAAATATAGTCTGAAAACCATCTTGTGATTAAATTAAAAAAGGTGCATTACAATCCTTCTTACATTTTAAGCATCATGTGAAAACAGCTTTGTTTTGTATACTGCACTGCAGTCATTACAGTGCTGTCATGGTTTAAGCCCAGCCAGCAACTTAAGCTGCTCACTCATTCCCCCCTGCTCCCAGTGGGATGGGGAGGACAACTGGAAAAAAAGTAAAACTTGTCGGTTGAGATAAGAACAGTTTAATAAATAAAATAATAATAATAATGTAATGAAAAGAGAGAGAAATAAGCCCCCCCAAACCCAAGTGATGCACAATGCAGTTGCTCACCACCTGCTAACCAATGCCCAAGCAGCAATCTGCCCTTCCGAGCCAACTCCCCCAAATTTCTAAACTGGCCATGACGTTCTATGGTATGGAATATCCTTTTTGCTAGTTTGGGTCAGCTGTCCTTGCTATGCTCCCTCCCAGCTTGTGCACCTGCTTGCTGGCAGAGCATGGGAAACTGAACAATCTTTAACTTAGGATAAGCACTACTTAGCAACAACTAAAACACCAGTGTGTTATCAACATTATTCTCACATTAAATCCAAAACACAGCACTGTACCAGCTACTAGGGAGGAAATTAACTCTATTCCAGCTGAAACCAGGACAAGTGCTGATGCACTTCTAATACTATGGCACTGAGAACAATAATGATAATGACAATATTAGCAGCAATAAAACCAAAAGCAGCAGTACTTACAATTAAAAAGATCTTTTGCCTGGTCATAGGTCTCTGGGAACCCATCTAAAACATATCCCTGATTCCTACAAGGCATAGATTTGAGCTTATCCTTCACAAATTTAACAACATACTGATCATCTAGATGACCTAAGACACAAAGAAGGTTAATAGGTACCTAGTTTATGGAAAAGAGATATCTGAAATTATTTTATTAATTCATTTATCAGAGAAACTTCTATTTAGACCCTAAAAAATTTATGTATTTTGAGTTACTATTTGTATATTACATGTTGTCAGAGGCCTATGGAATATAAATGTGTAGCTATAAAATAAAATTACATTTGAGTTTACAAAGATATCAATATTAGAACTTTAAGGATACTAAACATGAAATTATTTTTTTTAGAAAAATGCAATCAGATTTTAATAGAAGCAGCAAAGAAATATTTATAGAAAAAAGTGACAAAACAATCGTTTTCCATTTACAATTAACAGTAAGACTTAAAGATAGTCTTGCAAAACAAACGTGAGATAGATTTTACAAGTTTCATTTTCAGATCAATAGATTGAGCTATGAAGCAGTTTATTAACTTGGCCTACATTGTTGAACAAATGTGTGGGAGTAAAAAGTTTGGTTTGACCTGATTTTTTTGTCCTTTTGCAACCATTGACTCCAGTTTCCTACTTTATTTTGCTTCAGCTTTTAAAAGTCTTAAATATTTATAAACCATTGTAATCATAAAAGTATGTTACTATTTTAAAAGGCATTATTATTTTAAACAACAAAGCAAGGCATGTAGAAGAGATGCTGCTATAGATGTCATTATTGAAGCTTTTGGGTGTGTTGCAAGTTCATTGCTTTGCAGATACACAAGATCCAAATCAGGTAAACCTTTAGTGATAGGATGCATTTTTAAGGGGGATCACTTTATACTGCACGGAAAACGTTAAGCACTGATTCAAAACCTACATGACTTTATTCATATGTAATTATAATTACTTTTAATTAATGGCAATTTTTATGGACCTTTTTCAATCTGCAGACTTTAAAATTCTTTACAGGCTTCAGTAAATACTATTTACTTTTTAGAAATGGCCAAAATGAGGTATAAGGTAATTTTAAAAACCCACAATTTCATATGACAGTGCACTCTTTTTCTTACTAGAATACTTTTCTTTTTTGAAAATTTGATAAAGATATGCTTCACTAACTTTTTACTTTATATTATATAAATTATGCTCCCTGTTCTGAGAAGAAAACATGAAGTTTTTTAAAAAATCTGGGCAAGAATCTAATGCTTCTGAGTATACTGTTGTTACTTATATATCAACTTTTAAGGTAAAAAGAATTATATAAAATGTATAAAGAAGTAGAAAGATGGAACTTCTACAATTAAAAAAGCACCATATTATTTAAAAAGTGTATCACTTTTGATATACAAGGTATGTAATGTATAATGTAAAACATTGTATTTGATTTTTAAATAAGGTACATACAAATGGACAGGGCATGATTCTTGCTTTTAATAGGATTAAAAGTTCTAAAGCACCAATTTACTTCCTGATCTTCCATTTGCATAGGGTTGCACTAGTTACCTAGATCCCACCTCAGTACTTTGAATTTCCTACCTGCATTCTGCTCCATGCTTTCTTTTATTCTAGCTAATAACTCGTGTGATGCTTCTACATTTTTACCCTCCTCTTCTTCATCATCTTCTCCCTCTTCTCCCACACTGTCAGAGTACAGTTCTTTAGGAGCCACAATGTTCTCCTGAAGACAAGATCAGAAATATGAATGTGCTCAGAAATTCCATAGTCAAATTTCTTTTATAAACAGATGTAATACAAGGAAAACAAAAAAATGAAACAATTCATTTCATGTATGCTCCTGGACAGTGAGATACTGAGCAACCTTCAGTCTCTAAAAAGAGTTCAGTGCATCCCCCAGAGGTGATCAGTATGTCAAAAGAGATTTCCATTCTAAAATAATGGAATTATAACTAATTTTTAAATGGTGCCAAGCACTGTAAAATCACAGAAGTTAAAATAATAGCAATATTAGAAAACAGCAACACACCAGATTTGCTATTGTTTCAGAAATCACATCATTTATCTTAATGTGATGTAGCTTGTAGTGTTTGCAGAGCTCTTCAGCAATGGTAGATTTGCCAACCCCAGGAGGACCATGAATGCAAACTTTCAGAGGCTGGAAAAAAAAGGTAAAGATATAACATCATTCAAACAATATGGATGCTTTTATGTAAAAGGAACAATCTTTTTTCTATAACTAATAGGAAATAACAATTATTATAATTAAAACTGAAAATATATTTTAGTTTTATTCATTTATTTATTTCTCACTGAGTATCTCCTATATCATCCACAGGCTTTGAGTAACACAGTTACTTAATTTAAATGTACAACTTTACCATTGCAGAAAAAGCACACTTGTATTTAATAGGCTCATAGACCAACTTATAGTGGCACTATTAGTGTTTGAATGATCCAAAGAGACAAAACACAACCCCATAGATAGGATGCAGTGAATTTTGGAATGAGGTAGCAGATATTCTACTATATACATGTAATAGCTCTATTTCCCAGCTGAGGCAGAGTTGCTGTCATCACAATGGTTATTTTGACCTCAAAAATTTCAGATCCATCACAATCTTAAGATATTATCATTTTAGCTTAGCTAGCCCATGGATGAGTAAGTGTAATTAAGACTCCAGTATACACTTATTAAATATATTATGCAACAAACTCAAAATCATACATCATTAACTGCCTCCCTTAATTCAGTAGATGTGACAGTGCAAACTCTGCAAATTTAATAGAGTAGTGACAGGGACAGAGGTCTAGCTAGCCTCCCCTCTCCTTGCCACTTGGTATGTCTATATATTGTACTGAATTTCTTTGAATTACATGCTTACATACTCAGATGCATTAGTTTAACCCAAACACAGATCTGATAGTTCTTTCAGAGGTATGCATGGACTTTTAATGAACAACTTCAAATGATGGTAGTTGTATTTTGCTTTACACCTCCTGAACTCTTGTTCAAAGTTTGAACAAGATTTAGACATGCTGAACAGCTTTATCATACCGATCAATACTTGAATGTATGCAAGCAATTTTCTGCACCTTTCAATAACCTTCCCTATACATTTGAATACAGAAGTTCTAAATACTAAGCTAACATAGGAAACAGCAAAGTTGCTCAGTACATTACACAATAGAGCAGGGTAAAACGAAAGCTACATTGCAATTGAATATCCTGGGTCACTAAATATAATGAAGGACATAAAATACTCCCTGAACTACTGACTGTTATAAAAAAGCTTAAATAAAAGATACACTTACTGTGTTCTTGAAACAAAATATACCAGGAATGCCATATATTGCATACAGAAACTAGTTTCAGAACAGCAGCTTTCCATCAGGAAGCTTATTTGCGCTTACAGGGTTTCAGTTTTAGGCACAAAAGAAATAAAACTTAATGATTATTGTTTTAATTAATATTCCCTCTTTTTTAAGTTCTTCAATTTAATTTTCAGCTTTTATGTTCACTTACTTTGCATCTCTATCAGCCTTCCATGTGTTTTTAGTTAAAGAAATTAAAGCTTGTGTTTATATAACCTTTTCTGTTGGGGAAAAAAAAGAAAGGCACACTTTAAAATAGGGTACACCAAACCATTACCAGTAATCCTCGACTTTGCTTGTATTCCTTGACGATTTGTTCAATGTTCTCCACCAGTCCTGCCTGAGCAACCCACTTAATGTTGAAAGTCTCTTTCAGAAACATAGATTCCATTCGCAGGTTCACAAGCAACATATCCAAATGCATTTGCTGAGGGAGCAAAAGTACATTTATTTACAGACTTAAGCTATGCATGTTAAAAGAACAGTTAGCTTAAACTAGAGGCAAGAATGGAAGGGTGAGAATAGAAAGACTTCAAGCACAGGGAAAGCAGGTTTGCACACAAAGCAAAACAGACTTTTAAAAAATATAAACATTTTCAATGTTTATTTGTATTTGAGTATTCTTATGAACTATTAGAACAGGAAACATTAAAAAATTATTATGTACAGTACAAAGGTTTCATATAATTGCAGTGAATAACCTCTTTCATAAAGTTATCAAATCCAATCTTAAAACTACTAGGTTTGTAATTAGTTTATTTCTCCTATGAACAGTTTATTTCAGAAATAGATGAATACAACATGATTTATGTATGCTGTTTTCATCAGCCTTAGTAGCACCTAATTATTAACTTTTTTTGTTATTTTTATCATTTTGTATAGGCTTTTTTAGAGTGCTCCAGTATGCTCAGTGCAACAGTGACATCAGAGCTCCACTGCATTTCTAAATCAGGCTGTTAACTCCTCAAAACAGTCTCTTCTATGATGGTAAATTTTAGTTTGTTTATTTTCTAAATTCAAACCCACTGTATATATTTTTAGGTATGTTTTAGGGTTAAATTTTTCTGGTGAAATAAAAAAAATAATTTACATATTTTATGATATTATACTTTTAAGTTTACAACCTTTCCTTAAGTAATAAAGGGAAAACAGTACTAACTGTTAAGTCTTTGCTCAGGAATGCATTTTCTTTTGGAATCTTCTCAATTTTTCCTGGTCCAATATTTTTACTGATACACTATCAAGAAAGAGAAAAAATACACTTATCAAATCAGATTCTTAGAAAAAATTGTACAGGATTTATGCAGATAAAATATGTGCTTTAAATTTTATGTTACACTATACCTGAAAAATCAGTATACTGATTTGAAATAGACAGATCAAAGAACAGTATATTAACTTTAATGTTAGTATTAAACACCTTTGTTTTGCTATATATCACTTCCTCTTTAGTACTTGCCATGAAAAAAAAACGAACAACAAACAAACAACCCAGAACCACAGAAAAGTGTTCCGAAGCTCTTAAACCTATGTACAACTTCCTACTGCTTAAGAACTATTGGAGAACTATTTTATTTCCCAGCACTTTCACTTCTGGTTCTTGAAGTATTTAATCATGTTAACAATCAGGATGGGGTTTTAGATCAATGCCACCAATGACTCTCCATATTACCATTTTCATCTCATCTTTAGACAGAAGTTGTTACTTACTCCTACAGCCCTTTAAAATAGATTTTAAACCCCACTAGATTCCATGAAATCATAAAATTTGATACAGAGCGTCAGATCAAATCTACAATATATTCCAGGATTCTGTCTCCAACGATGTCAATTAGTGGACACCTAAATGAAAGTAAGAATGGGAAAAGCATATACAATACTCCTTCCAGATACTCTTCTAACCTTACACTATTTTCAGCTCGGAGACTTCCTAAACTAGAAATAGCTGCTGTATATTTAAGTAACTCTCAAAGTATTTCTCTCCCATGTATCTTTTCCAGATTTCCACTTGACAGCTCCCTGCCAAGATAGCTCTCTGCAGTGTGCTCTGCAACGCTCCCTCCACTGACAACTTCCTGTCTCTACAAGAATTGTCCACTTACTCCTGCCCGCAATTTCCAATTTCTAAACAATCACACACCCATGAAAGGACCTAACCACTTTTCTCAGGGTGCCTAGCTGCTTCTCAACAGCTTTTGGTGAAGTACTTCTCTGAAAGCCTTTGGGAAATTCAAGTAGACTACACATCAGCTTGTTCGGCCTTATCCACATTGCTGGTCACATTAAAGAATTTCAGGAGGTTTCCAAAGTATTTGAAAGTACTTTTTTGGAAAGTATTTCTTGGGAAAGTATTTTAAAAAAGTCACATTGACTCTTCCCAAATAGATCATATGTATCTGGGTGTCCTTTAATGCAATTAATTTATTATAATGTCTAATAAAGCCAATGGTATTAGGCATATTGGCCTGTAATTCCCAAAACGTTTCAGGAACCTGTCTTTTTACATTGGCATCACATTTATCGTTCTCCAGCCTTCAAGTGCCAGGACCGTGCTAAACAGCAAGTTGTAAGTGTGAATTAGCAATTCAAAGTTATTTCATGCTTGAATGATTTCAGACCTTAACTACAGTTACTTTAGTTTTATACAGATCCTCTAACAAGTTATCCACAGAGATCCTGAAGCATTAAGAAGCTTCCAAATTCCTACCCATGCCCACTAATGTAAAGCATCTCTGCTGTGGGCTTGTCTTCTCTAAGTGCTCCTTTTATACCATAATCATCAATTTGCCTTATAGATTTTCTGGCAAGTGTTTGAAAAAAGGATATTCATTTTGAGTCTTTCCCGATAGTTGATCTTCAAGTGTTTTTTTCACTTAACGTGCCAGATTTCATAATCTTTTCTATTCTATTTTCTTCATCTGGACATAACCATAACTTTTTGAAGCCTGACATCTTGTTTTCTTCAACCTACAATTTAACCACGCTAATTTTCATTTTCTTTTTCCCAAACTTCTGTTAATAAGTAGCATGCAATGGCCTTACATGTAAGTTTCAATAGCCTCTACCGTTCTCCTCTAAGGACTTAATATTTTTAATGTCTTTTGTGTTCATTTTTATATAATGCTCTTTCCTATGGTTGACTATAGCTGCAAAAGTTATTTTGACTTTTGCTTCTTCCATAGGAAGGTTGGCTAATTGCACTATGGTCACTTAGACAGAATGGCTCTTCGAATATTAACTTTTCAGTGAGACTCTGTATATTTACCTGAACCAAAACAAAGGTTGCATCTTCTTGTGAGCTCCCTAACACACTGTTCCATGCAACACTCTTTGACACAACCAAAAATATTGGGCTCTTATATTTGGTCCTTACGTAACATTTGCTCAATCTACATGATCATGTCTCCTATTATATTGTATTAGTTGACTCTCACTATCAGTGTACAGTTCAATAGTATCAGCAAGCCTATTTCTAGACTTGGAAAAACAAGGTATCTTCCTACAAAATGAAGTGAAAAACATCTTAAAAACTTTGAGTATCTAATTACAGTACTGTGAATCCCCTAACAACTCACCAGAACTTTCTTAGGTAAAATGTCTACCTAAGTTAATGATAATACTGCAAAAGTTAGTTCTGCAAAATCAGGTCCAACTAGTGTATTTTGTTCAAAGGACAGAAGTCTTGGAGGATTTCAAAATAATTTTCTATATCATTTACTACACAAGATAATTCAGGAAGACCTAGGAACTTCTACTTCAGTACAATGTATAGCTTTTAAAACCTTAAAGATATCTGAAAAAATCTCTTACCTTTACTAATTCTTGAAGAGTGTGCATAGATACATCTACTGCAAGTATATAGTGAGACCTTGGCCTATGATCTGCTATATTTTGTAGCACTCTGAAACACAGCAAGTACAGCCAGGGCCAGTAGTTAGAGAAGTATACTGGGCTTTCATTGTTAAATGCATTTCAGAAACAGTACAAAGAGTTTATAAAATCTTTCAGAACTTTTCAGAGCATGACATTTTCATATATATTTTCCTTAATAAAGAAACACAGCTAGATATTTTATTTGGAAAGGAGTTCAAAAGATAAAAAGCAACATCTGTAGAAGATATTAACTTAGTCTGCTGTAGAGTCCACGATCCATTTCCAGTTCTGTGCCAGTTAACTGGTATCACTGTCTAGATTGAACATTGGTAGTCTTTTTGTAAAAGCATAGCACCAGTGCAACACTCACATAAGGTTTCCAGAAGGCACATCTAGTACTAAAGAAATGGAAGTCTCTGTTTGACTCAGTAAGAAGGGCCAAAGAGTGCTCTTAAACCCACCCACCCCAACTTAAAAGCCTCAGTACTCTCTAGTAGATTTGGATTTGTTATCTAGCTAGGTATCAATTATTGTCCATTTTTTTACTTACGCTGCTAAATCAAGAACATGAATGGTTGGAATAAAATTGTTTCCGTCTCCAAAAACAGGTATTGTAGGGGTCTCACTAAGCCAACCTATCTGAAAACACAAATAGAGAATGAAGTAAGGAGGAAAAGGTTACTTTTAACCAGAGCTTAAAAAAGGAGCATTTGTTTACTAGGTAAATCTATATATTCAGGATTTACAGTTCAGTTTCTTGAATGATTAATGGAACTGCAGTAAAGGAAACATTTTTTGAGAAAAACTGACTGGCAGCCTACCAAAAACAAGAAACTTTTTTTTTTTTTAAACTAATATTCTTTGATCTCGACAAATGTTATTTTGTATCTCAAATAAAAGAAATGCTTGGAAAAAAAGAGAATATAATGTCGAGAAAAAAGACATTTTTCCTGATTCCATTGATATGACAGACATATTCTCACTGTAAAGTACATACAGAGATACTGTTCAAAAAATATGGAGAAAACTAAAAAACATAAAGAGCCAAAAAAGTAGAAAACACTTCCACTGTAGCTAAAACATTTCAAAGGGATCAAATAATCAGTTTTGTTCACAATAGCATTAAGTTTATGATACCAAAGCTACTAAAAATGCACTCAATTCCAGTGCAATTTGCCCCTAGAAATTAAATGAACCTTCAAAAATAGTTGGATGTCTACCTTAAAAAAGTAGTGCAAGACTCCTTCCCCAGCTCCATATTGATGTCCTGAGGCAACAACATAAGTTGAAAATTTATGTTTGTTCTGTGAAGTAAAATCAACAAGAAAGTTTTTATAAAAATACAGTACTGCAAGTGGGATACTGGCTTACCCTGAAACTTGAGTGAGTACTTGTGTACTAAATATACAAAGTCTGTAAATCATGTCACTTAAAATTTATAGCTAGATCAATTGTTGCATATCCTGTAGTTTCATAAGTCATATTGCTAGCATTTCCTTCAAAAAAAACATTGCTCAATCGGAACTGACCTGTCCACATTTGAACTGAAATTCTAAATATATATAAAATTTTTAAGAGTTAAAAAAATTGGAAGTTATGTAAATCAATAAAGTGGACAGGATAACTCATATTTCTACTTTCTATTTCCAAGAAAAATAACTCTGAAATTCATTGAAGCTATTTTTTTAGCTAAAGGAGTGGGAAATGCTGGATTAATGATTTTACGATTGCTTTACTTTCATTTTGACATACAATTAAAAAAAAAATAAAAATCTGTGAACTAAGTGTTTTACTAACCACACATCATGATCAACCCATATATTTTTTGCTGACCATTATTGCATAATAGCATACATTTGCCTATCCTGGCTGCCTGTTTATGTATAATGTTATTATTTGGATCAGCATTGAGGATGGTTGTACAGAGAAAATAAAGATGTCGAAATCATCTTAAGGAGAAAAACTTTCAAGAAAATCGTTTAAATTAGGACTAGTCACTTTGAAATTTTTAAGGTGAAACAAAATTATTAAATAATTCTCATGTTGTAAAGATCCTAGACGTTACATATCTCTGTAACACTATGTAAAAGAACGTGCATTTATCAGCAAAGAGAATAAATGCCCAGATTTGGGATTTACTTTTTTTGTGAAAAAATGCATCTTTTGTTATTATCTTTATAATATTTCAGAAACTTAAAACTAAGAACACTGTTAGACAATCTTTGATTCTATAAGCAAAGCCTCCTATAAAGAGATGGCAACTACCTGTGCATGTGTTTTTATCTATCTACTTACAAAATAATATTTTGTAATAAAAACTATCTCAACTCAGTTGAATGCAACAGCTTGTTAGTAATCACGAGAAACATTAAAATTAGAAGACATTACAGATAGTGTAAGAGCTCCCACACTTAGTTTGCTTGGGTAGTATCATGATAGAAACTGTACCCTAACAGCAGCAGCTCCCAGGATTGTTCTGGACAGACTGCAAACATGCCACGGAAGAAGACATGCTGTAATTTCCACCTCCCAGCAGGAAAAACCTGCCTCTTGTGAAAGCACAGGAGGTGCTATTTTTCATCTCCCTTAAGAATAATGTAACACATAGGATTATCTTCCATTTGCCTTGCAGTAGCTTCTACAGTAGCCACTTGTGGAGACAAACCACAGTTCGCCACCGAGTGCTATACTTCACTGAAATACAAACCTCTAAAATAGGTTCAAGTCCTCTAAAATACCTATTTCGTGTCGCAAGTCACACATATGAGAAGGTACTACTTGAGATGACTTGGATATACTTAACTTAAAAAATAAGGTAATTATTAGGCAAGCTCCGGTGACACACAGCATGTTTAGTCACGGGTAAAGACCTTCACGTTCCCGTGTAATATTCTTTAAAGCCACTAGATGTCACATTCTAGCTAGTATAATCAGTTCTAGGCTTTGGCTGTTTTACGTTTGTTTGTTTGTTTTATGCTAATAAAATGCTTGACATGGGAAACAGGTCTAAATTAATGGATTCAGGAACTGTGATGCCACTGAGAACAGAGCTAGGAGATGAAGAGATCTTCTGTCTGTGGTAGGCAGAGGTTTCTCCAAGGATTCTGAATTTGGCAGGACCCCAGAGTCAGTGACTTCTGAGAAACTCTATGCAGTCCAAATGCCCTGCTACAAAGGTAAAGGTAAAAAAATTGCTAGTGGTAAAAAGCAAAGACTTATAGCTCACAACTCTTGCTGAATTTTAAGCAAAATATAGGTGGGAGAGACACTTACTTAGAGGGGTGAAATCTTCCTTTAAGCAACAACAACCATTAAATTGTACTCTGAACAGATACCAAGGCTAAGAAACCCTTCTATTCTCGGTGCAAGTTCTTCTCTACATGACTGACATGGCTGCTGAATCCTAGTATCTCCTGCTGAACTCTTTGCAGGGACTGGTAACACTGTCATTTCTTTCACAGATGGCATATTCCCCAGATGCCACTGAATTTAAAAATTAGTAAGAACTGTAATCAGAAGTCTCCAGCCATCGCAGGAAGCTAATGTTGATCTGCTGGGAAGAACAGATGCTTTGGAGCCTTCCTGTTCCAAAGTGCTGACAGAAACTAAACAGGGGCAATGATACCCATTGATGCTGCCCCTGGAGTTCTGGAGGAAAAGGGCTCCTTTTGAAAGGCCTACAAGAGGCATATATTGAAAATATTCAAGTTGCTTTATTGTGTACTGCTACATGTTGTTCCACCGTCTTCTCAACAGAGACATTCAGCCTGGCAAACATTTAGAAGCTAATTATATTAATACCTTTGTTATGTAGTCACTCAGTGGTTTGGACTAGTCAGAAAAATTGAGTCAATAGTTCATCCGGGTGTTACTTGTGGCAGAAGTTATTGCAAGGTTTGGTGGACGCTGTTTACAATCTTCATGTTTCTAACTACATCACAAGTCTGAAAGTTATTCCATAGTCTTATAAACCCATGTTAGCACAGTAAAAGTAAGAAAAATTTGCCACTGATTTTTCAAGCCATAAACCAAATTTTACTGGCATTCTGTAATATTAAACCCATGTTAGAACAGAATATAATTTCTAGTTCTATTTTCTCAACAGGGCATAAGACAACACGTGTATACTCAAATCTGAGTAAAGGTTTTTTCCCCCTCTATAATTAGCCTGATAAATTTCTGCAGTGGACACTAAATTATATTTATTATGGGAGACTGCTAATGCACAAACAGAATGACCAAATGACACCTTCATCAATACAGTGTATTTCATTGTCTTCCAGTTCTCTGTCCCAACCTCCACAGTACTTCATCGCTAATGACAATAGCGTCAAATTTCCTGAGTCATGAAACACAATCCGAGCCACTATTGATATTTATTTAATAATAGTTCTTAATCACAAAGAGAGGCATGGTCTGTTCTCTAGTAAGATTAATAGTCTAATCAGGTTGGAACAAACAAAGCTGAAGGAAGTGATCTTAAAAAAACATATAAAGTGATAACATATATTCTAGTTATTCTGGGTCAGGTCTATGGCCATGATTTTAAAGTGAATTATAGGGTGCAATAAAAGTCAACAAGCTCTCTGCTTCAAGAGCACAAACTATCCAGGAATGAGACAGGTGTGGCCAGAACATCTTCTAAGTATTTAAATGAGACATAATAGTAACATAGCTTGCTATCATTTAAAGATGCTGCTTTTCTTTAAAACTACACTAATATCCCTTTCCTCTACATTCTTTTATCCTCAAGTCTTTCCCCATGCAGGCCCCAGCTTTACTTCTCTCTAAAAAACATATTGTTTCATTGTCCGTATCAAATGAGATAAGCATGATTTACTCACAGCGTAAGAAAAAGACAGAATTTGGGATTTGTATTATGCAGACACGTTTCAAAAGACAGTCTTCTCTATACTTGATATTTTATTAATAATTGATGTTATCCATATTTATCAAGAGAACAAAATACTCTTAAAATTTATTCAAATTGTTGGTAATTTCCATGACTAAGGTAATGCTCTAAGTAAGAAGACCAAACAACCTATTTTTATAAAAAAGTTCTTTACATACAGTTTTCCCAAGTTTGAGAATGAGTTTTTCAGCATTTATGTGTGCCATAAAGTTAGGATGAGATTTTCTTCTGCGATAATCCTCATCAGTAAAAGGAATCTCAGGATCTTCCTATGAAGAAAGAAATGCAACTGTTATACATGTTTTAAAACAGAACAATTTTTAAAGGCCTACATGGTTAAAATAAGTTCTTAAAAAGTATTTTTAAAATCTGTTTTAACTTTGTTTTTCATTTGAAATTCTTAACATTTCTGATTCTGATACTTGAGGTTCAACATTTTGAAAATGTCAATAGTTCAATTTCAATTTTCACAGAAAAATATTTTAAACTACTTTTTATATTTTAAAAAAACATTAATTTTTGCTATATATAGCATTACACAAGCTTGAAAAACACCATTTCTGTAACACCAAATTTCAGAATTGCAATAGCATACTACAGAGCGTCCCACATGGTTCCTGGTATCTATATCTATATCTAGATATATATAGATATATCTATATATAAAGCTGTATCTATTTATCTGTCTATACACTGATTTAAATATGTATTTCATTAAATATTTAGTAAATATGGGATTTTTTTAATACTGAAGGACAGTGCATATTGTGGTTAGCATAGGTCTTGCCTCTTATGCAAACAGTCCCTAATGTTTGCTTGTATTATTGTAGCCCACTGCCTAAACTTTTCTGTCGAGTGGAATAAATTTAACAATTTTGGCAGTAAGCAGTGGTTCAGGGTGAAAGGATCATGAGAAAAAACACACTTGCTGACACTAACTTTATTAGCTATTGTTGAAGTGCATACTGAAATACTTTAACTGAATGTAATGAATATTTTCCATTAAATGGAAATATTCAGTTAAAAAATATTAGTATTTTCATATTACTTACAGGGTCAGGGGGTTTGCTTTTTGCCCAGCTCATTATTGTTGAAAGGAGAATGAATAACTTTGGTGTTGCAAAATGCTCTATTTCCATATGTAAGGCTGTTAAATGAAAGCAAATGACTTAATTTATTGTAAATTGTATTACTCAAACTGTGGTTTTGCTTTTATATAAAGGTCCTGTACAGACATTTATACCATAATGTGATATGCATTTTTAAGCAAATACTTCTTATTTGGGTTGGTATAAAATAAAGATAATAAGTCAGAAAAGAAAACAAATAGACAAACAATGGTAATAAAGAATAAAATTATTTGGAATCAACATAATGTCCATAGGGCTACACATCATGGGGGGAAAAAAAAAAGAAACATTCTATACTAGGAAATGATTCATCTTTATTGATTGCTGAGATACTGAAAGAAAATAACTGTGGGTTTTTTCATGATTGAAACAGGAAATCTACAGAATTCAAGTAAAGCTTTCTTATTTTAGTTTAGAGCAAAATAATTAAATGTGGGTTATGTAACTTATGATGTTATCCAAGTATTTATACTGTAAACAGTATAAAGTGACTATCATAGTAAAAGTGACTATCATATAAAGAAAAATATTGCACTGTCACCATAAAAAGATTCCAGATGCCTATTAGTATTTGGATGTAACAATCAGGAGGAAGTTTCAGAAAGACTGTTAGCAGTATTTTTTATTGGACTTTAAAAAAAAATAAATTAAAATTACGTAAAATACTGATACATTCTTTAAATATCACAGGAGCAAATTTTCTACCCACCTCCCAATGCAAATAGATAAGACGGTGGTTGATAGTTATTTAGGGAAATAACTGGCTACACAGATATGTCATTTAATGTGTTGGACCATTCCATGACAGCTTCTCTACCTTATGAATGCTTGAGTGCACTCCATGGTTCCTTGCTAATTAATTGAACAATTCATGCAGCATTTGTCCATCAAGGAACACAGTTTTATATTACAGTAAACTATAAATAGCTGATAATTTCATTATATATTTATGGTAAATTTTGATGGCTGTATAGCAACCATTTTTGTGTTCAGTTGATAGCTATACTAACCAGAAGCAGCCCATGTTGCTTCCTCAATTTGATTTGCATCCTCAGTGATATTATATAAAATGATCTCACACTCAAGCAAGTGACTTAAGAGCTCTTTTCGAGAAGAGACCTGGGGAAAAAAAATAGTTAGAATGTATCATTTAAAAGAAAAAAAAAAAAAAGAAAAAAAATATCCAAAATTCCTTTACTTTTCAAGTTTAACTTAGTGATAGAATGTAGTTTTCTAACACTAGGATGTTAGAATAATTCATAAGACGGATATCAAATTTTATATGTCAGATACAAGTAAAGTGATAAAATGTAAATTAAATGCTGAAACTTCTAATTTACTCTATACATTAATATAGTTCAAAAAGATGTACAATTTTTAGTGGTATTTTAGGATTCATCTTTTCACTGCAATTGTGAATATAAAAAAAATTTCTATGCCTTTTATAGATATTTTAAACAAGGATCAGTTGGCAGAATGGGGAAGACATAAAAAACGTCCATTTCCTTGCAAAATGGCATGCTATCATTTTTGTTAAATGCAGATTGTCTGCATCACTTGAGCAAGTCCAACAAACACTTTGGGCAAGAGCAGTGATTAAGATTAAATACTGCCAGCCGTAATTTTCTGATTGAACAGCTCAGCTGTATAGATGTTTAAATAAAAATTTTCAAATGTTTGAAGAGATTCTGGATAATCAATTTGAGACAGAGGCAATTTTAATTTCAGAAAACATATCTTTATACAAAGATGTAGTTATTCAGAACAATTAGCTGCTAGTGAAAGCTGTGATTTCAGTGAACAGTTAAGAAGGGGGACCCTAACTTTAGTTCCAGCACCACTACCTTTAAAATGGTGATGAAAGACACAGATACTAGAGGTGTGTCTTTTGAGGGAAAAAGAAAGCAGACCTGTGGATCATCAGGATAGATGATGTCCTTGTCCATAACTATCTTTTTAAAAATCTATTTTGAGTCTGAGTTCCTTCCTTTTACTATTTGCTGTATCAGACCTAGCAGGGAGTAGACAACAGTGTGCAGGAAGCAGAAGGAATAAAATATATGTACACAGCTTCCAGCAGCAACAAAAGACGATTTTATTCATGCGGGTCATTTTACATGACTTGCAAGGTTTCTAGTGTTGTCTAATGGCAATCTGAAATAAGACTCTCACTTACTGCATATATTTCCTCTGCAAAACGTGGTTTAGCACTCTCTGCTTTAGAAAGGGTACCCACTATTTGGTAGAGTCCCTCTTTCGGCCTACTAGAAACTTCAGCAGCTGGATTATTTTCATCTTCCTCCTCCTCTTCTTCTTCTTCTTCTATGCTTTCAAGCGATGCCCCAACAACACATCTGGATAAATACTGCAATATACAAGATGCACATCTGTATGCAAATACATATCGAACCCTACACAGCTTCTCATGATCTTGGGAAGACACCAACACTGCCTGACTAGCCCTGATCCGGTTGTAGGTTACGCAGCTCAGAACGCAGCTTCCCGTTGAACAGGAAAAAGTTAGGGACTCCTCAAGCCCAGCTGTAATGTTTTGTCTTGACTTGTGCCCTACGCCTCAAAGTCGAAGGTGTTGGTGAGTCCCTAGAAGCCTCTTCTCTGCAACCTGGCTCCTCTCAGGCAGGCGTTACCTCTCTCCACAGCGACCAGGCGTTGCCTGCGGTCTCCCGACCTGCTTTATCCACACCTCCTGCTCCTAACTCTCATTTTTTCTCCTTCTTATCTTAACCCCTTCTCGCCCCCAGTCCCTCTCCCCAGCAGCTATTTTAGCTGACCCCGGCTCCCCGGCCGGCTTCCCGCCCGGCCGAGCTCCCTGGAGGCCAGACGCCGCTCCCTGCCGCGCTACCGGCCGGGGGCCAGGCGGGCGCTCCCCGCGACGGGCTGCGGCAGGCGGGAGGGCGGCGGCGCCTCAGGCGGCGACCGCTGAGGAAGAAGCCGCGGCCGCCAGCAGCTGCGGGCCGCCCCCGGCGGTCACCTCGCCGATGCTGCGGCCGCAGTAAGAGTCGAGGTGGTTGAGGAAGACCCGCCGGCTCCGCGCCG